TTACTATGGGCTCGGAATTTTCAAATCGCAATAGAATGGGAGAAAATTTACCATTAACTCGATAATGATTAGAAGTTGTATAAAAAGATTTTGAGCTTTTGTGTGGTTGATAGTTATAAGAGAATAGATTTAGGCATTGTCATTGACAAATGCTTGATTGATTGACAAATTCTAATTCTATATTTGTCTAACATAGGCATCAACCTACTTAAATCTTATCATCTAATTTTGTGAGTCTCCGATTTTCTAAGATTGTTTGTTTGTTTTTTTTTTTTTAAAAAAAAACTTTCAAAATGTCAAGTAATCCAAGGTACATCAAATTTCGATTTTTGGAGGAACAAAGGCATCTCACATTTAAAAACAAAAGGAAATGAAGGTAATTTCTCAATAGTAATACAACAATTGATCTATTTTCTCCAACTTCATTTATTTGCTCTTAGATATTAGTCCTCATTTGGAAGAATGATTACGATTTGATTTCTTCATATAAAAATTTAAAAATGTTTCCAACAAAAAAAGAAAAATGAAAACGAAACAAGATGTTTCAAACATGAATGTATATGTGAAAGTAAAAATAATGCTAATTTTACTGAAGAATCATCCTAAAATCACTAAGGAATCATCCTAAAATCACTTTCCAATTATCTCATCTATTAGACGAGTGAGTTCCACACACTATAAATCAAAACTATTAAAATTCTTCCACAAGGTTTCTTATTCCCCATCCACTGAACCTGCAACGAGCTTGTTTGAAAAGTTGCAGATTATAAAATATGAGAGTTTCTCATAATCTATGGTTGGTTTTTCCATTAAAAAGAATGAAAACATATGTTCACCTACCAGCTTCTTCAAAAATCAGTGTGATTCTTGAAAAAAGACACAACATGAGTGTACACAATATCCTTAGCATTTACTCCAAAAATGAAATCCATATGAGCATACTCCTTGATGTATTGAGTAGTGAGCTTGTCAGCATCATGATGGGGCTTAAGAATGTCAAGCAAGAGCTTAACATCTTTAACATCAGATAGTCCATCTTGCAGTCCATAGCTGAGGAAGAGAGGCAAGTCACTGGGGATATTAGAAAGATTATAAACAGGTGGTTTTGTTTTTCCATAGTGCTGCATATTAGCCTCGGAAGATCCATAGTCGTATTTTGCCAGAAACCCATAGCGAATTGCTGCAATTCATTTGAAGGAATCAAACAACTCTACTTAGTGATTTATTTGAAAAAGTATAGTTAAGAAAGTTTAACAATGACTAAGATTGGGTGGCACACTTACTTTGACCAAAGTGCCGGATGTTCTTCATTGCTGTAGGTTGAGGCTGATTGTTTGCAAAGAGATGATAAGTGGAGCCGTTGAGGCAGCAGTTGGGGCCTTGAATTGGAGAAATTAATTAAGCATAAATATATTTAATAATATGATTGCAAAGGAAATAGTTACTATAATATAGATGCACCAACAATGCAAAACTTAATGTATACCTGTTATTGGAGTCAACAATTCGTAGCAATTCATTTTAGAAGCAGCACATAGAGTGTTGCCCAAGTTAAAAAATGGAAGCAGTTGTCTGTAAAAGAACAAAAAGAAAAGATCATTTAGTTGTTCATCTATTAATTTATTCTACAACTAAAACAAATTAAAGGGAATTTTCGGCTCAACTTTCTTACCCTTTAGGATCAAATGCAGAATCACCAAATAAATTTGCAATCTGTTAGAAGCAGAGAGGATACATTAAATATAAAATATATATAATCAAGGAAATTAATTAGATTAAGTGTCCGTAATTAAAGAATTAATCATGTAGATAGAGCATATTACGTACGCTTGCTTCCTTGCAAATAACAGTAAGCAATGATCTTGTGGTTTTCAAGTAAGCAACAGGACTCAACAAAGCAGCTGATTTAATCTTCTCTACCAATAATCCTTCGGATAATGCTATCATAGCTGCTAAAGTTCCCTACAGAAATAGAGTACAATTTTAGACAGTCAAGAATTATTATAATTGAGATGTCAGAATAATTTTCTATGTTGTAAAATTTTGAGGCAAGATCGTGAATCATACCTGGGAATGACCTACATAATGTATTTTCTGTCCTGTTTTATTGTATATGTAACCAAAGAGTGCTGGAAGGTCGAATTTTGCTAGTTCATCCCATGACCAATTCCAAAATTCCTGCAAAAATTGAAATTGAAAAAAAAAATGTAATGAGCAAATACAAGCCAGAATATTGATCATGCATGCATGCAGGAATGAGTTCTTGCCTGTAATAAAATTTTAATTATCAGCTAACACTTAAAAGTAGATGGTTCATATTACAAAAACCAAGAAAATTAAGTGGATGGTTTGCGCCATCACAAGAGAAAAAATTCAAGTACTACCAGTTAGGAATCAATTTTACTTTTTGGGTTAACTCTTGATACCAATTGGTGTCATTGTAAGATATGGTAATAATGTTAACCTAAGGGTCTCTATAAATTCATCAATATTTCACTTCAATCCCTATAGTTAAAATATTCCAATATCACCCTTTAGTTTCCAAAAAATGTACTCTAAATTCCTTTTAAATGTACATATATGGTAAGATTATGTTATTCTCTGTTGCGAAAAGCTGATACAAGTACTATTAAAACCAAAAGAAATTGTAGATAGACAAACATGCATATTGAGATTCAAAGATGAGAAAACCTGCTGATTGGGTTGAAGAGAGGTGTGTCGACTGCTAAATTTGGTGCCTCTGGTGTTAGAAATCCAGACATCAAACCCTTGATCAGCTAAAATGGTTGGTAAATTTTGTTCCGGTTGATTCTGAAGCCATGTCATTCCATCCTGCATCATATAAATAGTGAAATTAACTAAAGTATCATATAACGTTATGGTACAAATTAGACCTCCTGCATAAAATTATTCTTCTTCCATTCTCAACAGATGCAAGCACTTACTACAAGGACCCCATGTTGTATTAGAACTGGCTGCCTCTTTGCATCACCATTGCCACCGGCACTAACACGACCTTCTGGTATTCTTTGCACGCTAAGTATATAACCATCATCGGTTACCACCTAAAAAATCAAGAACATAAAACGCCATGTTAATCTATTTTCTTTTGTTCTATTAATTACTACCTACTTCTAATGCCAACTGCTCGATCTACAAATTAGTGTTTCAGTTGATTATCTTACTTCGAGTTCTTGGCATTTGTACCCATAAATTGTCACCAAAGTAGCACATATCCCTTTTGCTGGGGGTTGATCTGTGACACCACTGGTTAGGGTTGTAGAACCACTACTTAAGCCATATATTTGACGGATCATCACCGTCAAGACTATTAGGACACAAAAGCTCAACTTAGACATGCCCTTGATCGTAATGTCTAGTTATAACTGCATAAGAGTGGAAAAGAACAAGACCAACGGTTGCCAAAGAATTTTTTTTTCCACTCTTCGTTTGTTTGTTGGCAGAGAACTCTAAATCAAGTTTTTTTGTACAAGTCACTGCAATTAAGTACTATATATACAGTACAAATAGAACAGTTTAAGCAGCAAGTCATTTATAACAATTTATTATACCAATTTATTTTTCTTTATTGCAATTTGTTTTATATGAATTTGTAACTTTCTTTCTTGAATATCCTTTTTAAGTGAAGACAATATTTAAAACCCTGGATATCTTGTCTTCTAAGCCATTTAGGTATTGTTCTATGTGATTTATAATCCTGCCCTTCTTTCATGTTTCCCACTGATGTGGTATTTTATTGAATTTGCAACTTTCTTTCTTGCTTATTCTTAAGCTTATTATTTCATTTGAATTTGTAACTTTCATTCTTGAATATTCTTTTTAAGGGAAGACGATATTTAAAACTCTAGATATTTTTCAAGATCTTTATAATGAGATCTTTGACCTACTGATTTGTACTGACGTATTTTAGTTTTCTCATCACCAAAAAAAAAAAAAAAAAAAAAAAAAACACTTTTTATAACTAATGACCCTTAACCTTAATTTTTAATTACAATATGTAGATAAAAATAAAATTTGAAGCCTAAAAATAATTACCTAAATTCTCATCTTGCTAAATTTGTAGACATGACAATATCACAAAAATCTAATTTAAAGTCTTTCAAATAGGTTAAATAAATTCAAAGACTCCCAAAAAAAATTAAAATTAATTCATGCCTAAATAATTGACTTATATAAATCACCCAAATCTCATGCAAGTCACATCAAAATTCATAATAAGAACAAGATTAATTTGGATCAAATCCACACACTCTTATAAAGGATAAATAATTAAAAATCTAAGGCAACATGGATTTAATTATCTAGATCGACAAAAACAGGACTGGCTCGTAATGATCAAAAGGAAGCAAAGACTATATTGGATAAAAAAATATTCAAATTAACTCTAAAGTTTTGATTTAAATTAATTATTTAATCTTTTAATTAGTTTTGATTATGTTTAATTTAATATTATCTTATTTTAGAAAATATTTTCTTTTCTCGTAAATTTTTTCGTGATATCTCTTTATTTTAAAAAATAAATTAAAAATAACATAGAATGAAAAAAAAACTAAAATGTTAGTTTTTGAAAGATTAAAAACTAATTAATTCACTATTAAAACTAAAATGATTAATTTATAATTTACTCGACTTTGGTGTTCCTAGCATCGGCGAATGCAATCTGCTTTGGTCAAAAGTTGTACTAATCTATATATAGCTAGCAGAGCAATTATCTTGCCTTGTTAATTTGTCTTTTGTGTAATTTTCAAGAATTATGACATTTTGTCAATCATTTGGACTTTAGCCAGCCGGCCATGATGCCATCAACCATTTTGACAGCACTTGCAATTTTATGCTATTATTTTTCCATGGAATCAAATAGCACAGTTACCGACCTCCAAGTGAAAGGAGAGAAACCAGGAAAAAAACAACATAATTAAAAGAGAGGAAATGAAAACTAAAAGAACGAAAGGCTTTGGAGAATAACTAAGAGGGAAATTATGGGTTTTTGGTGGCAATTTCTGGAGGTTTATGGGAGGTAATTGTGAAAGAGTTAAATTGCATATCTTAGTGCTTGAACCGTTTTAATTTTTACTAATTGAAATATAAAGATTCCCAAAAAAAAAAATACAAAGAATCTAATAGAAAAAATTGGAAAATTCAAACACTAAAAATATGTAATTATAAGTCTCTATTGACTTCATATGAGCACCATCCATTGATTCTGTCTATTGGGCTGCTTATATACTTCATCAATGGATAAATGTACGTTTACTCTACATATGAACCCAAAATCTTAGTAGCAATAGCTTGATTGACTCACGATTAAGAGGCCTAACAATTGCAGCATACATTACAAATAAAACAATTTAACCATGCATATATTACTGACAAACACATTCTAATGCCAATGAGCTATAGCATAGCTGGCATTAGTGCTTTTTTTCTTTAAGAGATAATTAATTAATTTTAAAATATAATAACAAAGTAATTAATTTTAAAACTAGATAGAAACGAAAGAGATTAATTTATAATTTACTCCAATAAACTTGGCACGTCGGAGTCATGATTGAGGATCCCAATTCTTACAACGGCAGGGGAATAATGATTGAAACTCTAAGAATAGACAATTGAGTGATCTTTGACTTTTATCTTAAATCTTCACGGACTGATCCATGCTTGGTGTTCAACTGGATATGACACCTCTAATTATCAAACTAAACTGTCAATTAATTGTCCTCATGCAATACATTTGAACAGTGGATTATCTTTTTTGTAGTGCATGTCCGCTCTTTTGGGGGGATACAATTTCATCGTCTCCGATTCCAGTTTTTTCTTTAGTTTAAATTCATTAGTTTACACTAGATCAGACTGCAACTTGCTAGCTGTAATAACATGAGCAATTGTAATATATATATATATAATTTTACAATTTTATTGGTCGATTTTAGAGTTTAAAACTGCGTAAACAATGGTGTTCACAATCTTATATCCATATAGGCAAAATATCTTATCCTTTTTGGACAAATTTGGTATGAAATTCGATCCTTGAATTGCAGATTTCTCGCAAGTCAAGGTAAGGTAGGTAGGAAGATGTGTCAAACCAACAAAAGAGCTAAGATCAAAATAGGAAAGGAAAAAAAAAAAAAACAAAATAAGGAAGCAAAACAATTAATGAAAGGAAATCGAATTAATAGTTGCAAGAGTTACTCTACTATTTCTTTTATCTTGATCATATTCTTTTACTTTTTTTCGTCTTAATTTTATAATTTAGTCAATCCATTTCTAAAAAATAAAAGAATTAATTTATAATTTACTCCTCTACAAAGTCGAGGGTAGAGAAATGTTTTACGATAAAAAGAAAAAAAAATTGTCACTCTTTTGGGCAAACCACAAGTAAATAACTAAGGTATTGTTTGATAATAAGAAATAAAATGATAGTAATAGAAATAAAAAATTTTTATTTTTATTTTGTAGGTGTTTGGTTAAAAGAAATTAAGTGCATGAAAATGAGAATAAAAATTAAACATATTTTCATTCTCATAGGAGAGGTGGGAATAAAAACAAATAATGAAAATGAGTTTTTTTTTTCAAAATTGTCATAACCCAAAAATTTCCCCCTTTTTTTGTTGTTCATCTGTTTCTTGTTTTATTTTTATTTTATTTCATTTCATTTTTACTTTATTTTGGAATTTAGTACAAAAAATGGAAAAAGAATAAAAAATGCAACTATATATATATATATATATATATATATATATATATATATATATATATATATATATAGGTTCAATTGAGTCAAACAAAAGTATTTTCTTTTCAATAACTTAATTATCATATGAATCCACCACCTTTATTTTTAATCATTGTATAACAAATTATAAACTCAAAATTTTATCCTATTTTATCAACAACCAAACCTTATTAATTCAAAAAAATTTTGATAAAAAAATATACTCGATTAAATTTCAAATAACATAAATTTGAGTTTTCTAACATATTTACTAACAATTAATTACATATATAAAAATTGGTAACAAACCAAACACACCAAAAATTGTAACATCGAAGTGATACAAGAAAACTTACAAAAATCAAATGTAAAATATAGATTAGGAGAAAGACATGTATCTATTGGAATCAATTAAAGACTTCTTTTCTCGGAGGGGGAGAAAGAGAGAGAGAGAGAGAGAGAGAGAGAGAGAGGATGGGGGAGGAGACCCGTTTGAGGGGAGGAGACAATTGAAGTAGCTAGGGACTACCTGGAGAGTGGAAAAGAAGGGTTTGTGAGGCGGTTTGGGGGTTTTGCAGTCGATAACGTCATTTGAAAGAGGTTGTGGTGAGAGGTGGGGTGGGAGAAGGGAGAAGAAAATGGGAAAGAAAAGGGATTTTGCCAATTTATGGATTGAACTTTAGTGACAAACATGACTCAATCGCTATTCCGTCACAAATCAATGACATAAGTAAGTGTCCGTTGTTGATTTAAAATTCAAAATTAGCACCTCTTTTTCACATATCGGGAACTAACGGGTTCCTTTGTTGATTTTGGATTTTTTAGTGATGAACAAGTTCCACGACTTGATTTTGTGACAAATTGTAACATTTAGGGATGGAATATTCCATCACTAATAATAATAATAATAATAAGCCTCTAACAATAGTGACATAAGTAATGATCCTTCACCGAATGCCATTGCGAGTTTAGTTGATAATCCGTCGTTAAAATAGCCGACAAAAATTTGTTGCGTTATTTAACGACAAAAATATTCCGTCATTGATTGTTTATCACCTATTAGTCACTATTTCATTGCTATCAATCCCAAATCAATAATAGTCATTACTAGTTCATAAATCTATCATTGTATAACGACAATATATTTTGTCGCTAAATCACGGGTTTTTTGTAGTGAGTTGCTCCTTATTGTAACTCTTTGACAATTGAGTTAAGAAGCCATTATTTAACGAGAGCATTGCACTAATTCCAAGTTTGAAAATCTCCGAAATTGACATTGGGTTTGGTTATTAATGTACACAAATCTTGCTTCGTTTTTGGTTAGGAAAGCATTGTGAAAGTTAATTCGGCAAGTGAAATAATTTTCTCTACGTTCACTAAGAGGCTATATAACAACAAGCAAACCTGGATGATTTGATGGATACAAATAGAATAGAGATTTGGTATTAATTGTGATAGTTTGTATATTCACGACGGACACCAAACCCTTTTCATTGCTACTTGTTGAACCAATTACCATAAAAGAAGAGGAAAAAAAATCACAAACCTTGCTCTGGCACTATGAAAACATGAATTAATTTTTAATGTATATTTTAATTACACAAACAATAAAAATAAATACAAATTATATCAATTACAATCCGTAAGTATTGGAGTCAACAATCTCGCTAATAAGTGAGCTTATATATATCTATAATTAGGTTAGTATCCAAACACACACATATAATTTGAAATTCGCATGCTTATTTCTTGATCAGAATTTATAAAGCAACAAAACTGCAGACTTCTTCACCCTCTGGACTTTCAGCCATGTATGAATATGCGAATATTAATTCAAAACAAGCTAATTATTTTGGAGAAACCATTTATGGAGCTGGTTCCGTTGTAATCGAAAGCGAATCGGGAGCTTATGGAGAGAAGCTCTTGCGATCAGTCTCAGTCTATGTGTAAATTATGCAATACAAGCAAATACTGTGATTCCATGACTTTGAACTGGCTAATTTATTTTTTTATATAGTTAAACATCAAATAGATAAATATAAAACCAAATCCAATCCTTTTTTTTATTTATTTAAAATTACTTACCAGATTCAGCAGTCAGCGCAATTGATTGCAACTTAAATTTTATTTTATTTTTCCTCTGTTATGTAAGTCATTGGAACTGAATTTATAATGCATTAACGAAAATTCTAGCAAGCTGTTTAGAACTTTCAGGGTCTTCCTTTTCATCTCCGATTTTATTTCACTTTCATATATCTACAGCAAGTAAAATTTTAGCAAATAGGAGGTATAAAAAGATCATCAAGACTTACTCTCGGTTGATTTATCCATGACGACCATATAGAAAGAGTAAAAGGGGAAAAAAATCAATTCTAGTAATACTAATAACGAGTCAACTTGCACAAAAAGTTTATGTAGTCTCCTATTTTTTTATGACTATGAGGCTGTTCTGGAAGTACTAGACTGAGGTTACCTAAAAAAATTCGAAGTTTTCCTATATATATAGATATATATGCTTCATTTAGATTTGCTTTGTGCTTGATAGACAGTTCAATTTTACTGTCAAGATGTTGATAAATATTTATCCATTATTTTGCTAGCTCATATTCCGAGTTCAAAGACTTTCCAACTCATTTGACAAAGCAAAGAATGACAACAAAAAGGCAATCTTATCCAAATACGAGGGGATTGGTTACCTACCCCACCTATATAAGAGCCCGCCAATGGGTTTAGATAGATCATGTGAAAATATTGACCATCCTTTACAAAGCCATGGCAAAAGTCATAAGTTTACTTCTTTATATTTCACTTTTCCTTTCATGTTTTGTGATTTCTGGTTATGCCAAGAGAAAAGTCTCCAGCAACAGAAATTATAAGATACAGTTTGTCGATGATGCTACCCCAACAGGCAGCAACTTCACTTTTATATGTGATCCTTCAAGGACTGATTCCACTGGATTGGATATATCAAGCTTTAACTTTTGTGACAAAACACTGTCCTACCGTGTTCGGGCAAAGGATTTGGTGGCTCGAATGACATTGAAGGAAAAGGTTGCACAACTAGGAAATAATGCTACAGGGGTGCCTAGACTAGGATTGCCTTTTTACGGTTGGTGGTCCGAGGGGCTCCATGGTTTGTCCAATGTTGGTCCAGGAACCTTTTTTGATGGTCTTGTCCCTTCCGCAACAAGCTTTCCCACTGTTATTTTATCAACAGCTTCATTCAATGAGTCACTTTGGAGAAAGCTTGGCCAGGTAAGTTGTTTCTTTCCTTTATAGTACAATCTTGTTTGCTTATTTAAGACAACCATCCCATGCGTGTACCTTAGAATGAAGATTTGAAGTAATTGAATTTTACGAAAAACAATCACCATTTTTTGCAGGCTGTTTCAGATGAAGCTCGAGCAATGTATAATCTAGGGCGGGGTGGATTAACACTATGGAGTCCAGTCATTAACGTAGCAAGGGATCCCAGGTGGGGAAGAATCTTAGAAACACCAGGTGAAGATCCTTTCGTCGTGGGAAGATTTGCAGCTAATTACGTGAGAGGCCTACAGGATATTCCAGGAACTGAAAAAGTTAAGTATGAGGATCCAAATTCTAGACCTATCAAAGTTTCTGCATGTTGCAAGCACTTTACGGCCTATGATGTTGACAATTGGCATGGCGTTGAACGCATAAGTTATGATGCTAAGGTAACTTCTTAAGTTAAGACCAAACTCCATGCTGTCCAAAATGTTGAATTTGTCATTGTAGAGAAAATGATGCATTTAACGATCTTTCTGAAGGTGCCCGAGCAAGATCTTGTTGAGACATTCAATCTTCCATTCGAAATGTGTGTTAAAGAAGGGGATGCTAGCAGTATAATGTGCTCCTACAATCGTGTTAATGGCATACCTGCTTGCGCTGATCCAAATCTGTTATCCAAGATAGTTAGAGAACAATGGGACCTTCATGGGTATAATTTACATGTTCTTAGCTAATCTCATCATCAAAATCATAAACATTGGTTCTTATGTTACTAAAAACAATATATGTTTTTCCAGGTATATAGTCGCAGATTGTGATTCCGTTCAAGTGATGGTAGATAATCACAAATGGCTTAATGTCACCAAGGAGGAAGCTGTCGCAAAATCACTCAAAGCAGGCAAGTCTCCTTGACCATCTTTCCCCTCTGTGTGTAATAATAATACGGTAAGTGTTGAGTTTTAGCTGATCAAACTTTTATTTCCAATTCAACTTTAGGTCTGGATTTGGATTGTGGAGATTAATATCCTTTTTATGCTGAAAATGCTGTTAGACAAGGAAAGGTCAATGTGAAGGACATCGATAATGCACTGGAAAACCTTTATGTTGTGCTTATGAGGCTAGGATATTTTGATGGAAGCCCCACATTCAAAAGGCTTGGTAAGAAAGATGTCTGCTCTAAGCAACACATTGAGCTAGCTACAGAAGCTGCAAGGGAGGGAATTGTTCTTCTAAAGAATGAGAATGGAACATTGCCTTTGAATCCTTCTAATTTCAAAACTCTAGCACTAGTTGGACCACACTCCAAAGCTAGGGAAGTTATGATTGGAAATTATGCATTTGATGGACGGCATGTTGGTAAACCATGTCAATACACCACTCCGTTTGATGCCTTCTCAACCTACGGAAAAGTGATTAACGCACTTGGATGTGACGTTCACTGCAAGGACGAGAGCTTGATATTCCCTGCCATGGAAGCTGCAAAGAATGCTGATGCTACTATAATGTTTGTGGGATTGGATTTAACGGTGGAGGCTGAGAGCTTGGACAGGAATGATCTCCTTCTCCCTGGATCCCAGACAAAGTTTATCAACCAAGTTGCAGATGTTGCTAAAGGGCCAGTCATTCTAGTGATCATGTCTGCAGGAGGAGTTGATATCAACTTTGCTAAGAATAATCCCAAAATAAAAGCCATCCTATGGGCTGGATATCCTGGAGAGGAAGGTGGCCGTGCCATTGCAGATGTCGTCTACGGAAAATACAATCCAGGTAAGCATCTGATGCATCTGATTAATTAATTCACTTCAGATCATTGACTTCTGGTTGTTTAAGGTCATCGCGATTCGCGATGCCCCAGTTCTTCCTCATCAATTGAAAGATCATTTGATTTTGCAAATTTCAATTTTAACTTTCGGTGATCATAGTTATGCATTTGTATGATTTGTTAATTACATTTTTAACAATGCATATCCATTTTAATTCTATGTACACTTATTTAGGAGGAAGATTGCCCATCACATGGTATCAGGCTGATTATATAAACAATTTCCCCATGACATCCATGCAACTGAGACCAGATGTTAACCAAAAGTATCCCGGTAGAACATATAAGTTCTTCAATGGATCGACAGTTTTCCCATTTGGCTATGGCCTCAGCTACACCAAATTCGACTACAAGTTAGCATCTACAAAGAATATAGTCAACATAAAACTCACCAGATTACAAGACCTAGACTACATAAGTGGAAGCTTCAAGCCCGCATGTCCAGCAGTTTTAGTTGATGACTTGAAATGCCTGGAGCAATTTCAGTTCTAGGTCACGGTGCAGAATGTGGACAGTAGAGATGGCTCGGAAGTCGTCATGGTTTACTCCAAGCCCCCTGCTGGTGTTGATGGAACTCATTTGAAGCAACTGATTGGTTTTCAGAAAGTTTTTGTACCCACCGGAGGAAGCAAGAGCGTTACCTTTGCGTTCAATGCCTGCAAGAGCTTAGGCATCGTAGACTACGCTGGTATTCGTCTTTTGCCATCTGGTGGACATACAATAATGGTTGGAGATGGTGCAATCTCATTTCCAGTTCAAGTCAATTATAGTTAGGGCGTAATGTATAAAATTGTACAATAAGAAATATCTTTATGTACCTTTATGTACATACGCTCAAATAACTTTTTTTTTCATGAGATTGTGTATAAATCTGTTTCAATCTAGTCTAATATAAAATATAGTTATAATCACGAAATCGACTCGATTTTAATTATGGATTATAAGTTTTATAATTATAGTACATTCCTGTTTTGAACAGAATAGATCTACTCATTCTTTAATCTCCTATGAACTCCTAACTAATGCTGTAATACTAATTTTAATTGTGTTAAAGATTAATATAATTTAAAAAAATTTATTAAAAAATGATATAAAATCATTTTTAAAGTCTCAGTTGTTGAATCATTTTCAATTTCTAACGGCCAACAAAATTGCCCATGAAAAAACTGTTCCAGGTCTAATTGAACTTTTATCTGTCATATTTTCAAGTGGTTCTGATGTGCGTAATTTGTGATCACTCATTTCTGCGATTTTGACTGGATGATGCTGTAATCTTACAATTGAATTAAATTCTTATTCAACCGCTATGCCAATCATACAGGGTCAAAGGCCTTTAATATTACACTCAAGTTTCCATGTAATCCCTTGGGCAGGTGGACGCTATCAATTCTTCCTATGCCACTCCTGTGAATTTATCTCATTATTGGGAAATGGGAACTTGGGATTTATAACCCTTTTGAGATTTTTCATGAAACCGACCCAACAACACCATTTATCAATAAGATTAACAGACATCGGTTCCTAGCCTTACAGGTCTAAGAAATCCAACAGTCCTGTTGCCAGAAATTCATAAGCTCCAATCAGGTCAAGCCATGCACATACATAAAGCCATCGGGACCATGGCATTTTGTGGCATTGGTTTTCGGACCATAAAATTGCCACGTCATGCATAATTCAACATAAGAGACGCAAAATATGGTTTTAATGGCATTAGGGAAGGGTGAAGTTTTGGAGCAATTTCATGCCAACTTTGCAGTGCTAAGGGTGGTGGAAGATTTTATTGTTTTGAAGCCAAAAGAAGGAAAAAAAAAAAAAAAGGTTCGCAAGTCTTACACTTTTACTTCATTCTTCTATGTTCACTGATCCATCAACATGTTCACTTGCCTCACCAAAGTTACAATCACACATTCTGCTAAATCCATTTCTTCATTGAGGAAAATTCTCTCTTCTAATTAGTCTTCACAGGCAAAGGTAATGAAATGTTGCATTATCATTCCTGGTAGTTTGCAGAGTTCTATAATGACTTGTTTTTCTAGACTTCATCAATTCTTGGTGCTTGTTTCTTAGTGTTTTGGTTAAAGTTCCATGCCTGTACTGAAAGGATACCAGTAACAAGTAATTCTCTTCAAGCTTTAATTTCATAAACAACTAGAAGAATGATAAGTTTCTCCCCTGACAAGTGTAAATAGAGCAAGTTTAATTGGTTTTTCCAAAGTTTGAAATTTCCAGGACTTTTTCTGCATCAGAATTGATAAGACAACAGGACCAGTAGACTATTTTCACTCTCAAGCTTTCAAAAATGTACAAGAATGAGAATGTGGGAAGTCATGTTCAAATTTTGATGCAACCATCAAAACAAGCTAATTCATTTGGAGAAAGCATTTATGATACTGGGTCAGATTTAATCAGAAGCGAATTGGGTGCCTATGGAGAGAAGCTCTTAGGATCAGGCTCGGCCTACGTGCAAAGCAATGTAAGTAATATATACTTTGACTCCATGACCATTAGCTCTATATCTAGTTTTGAGGGGTTTTTTTTTTTTTTTTCTCAATTTTCATTTTATTGGTAACAAAAAATTTTCATGGTTCTATAACATGTTGCAGATTAGCAGATATCTGTCCAACCCTAGATATTATTTTGAGGTCAATGATCAGTACGTGCTTAATAAATTGAAAGTGATCCTGCTTCCATTTCTACACAGGGTATGCAATTGCTGAAATGAATTTTTTTATTGTTTTTTCCTCACATGTTTCTTAGCTTTTCATATATTCCATTTCCTTCCATCTCTCTTTGCTTTAATTCTCCATCTCTTGTATTTCCAGGGACATTGGATGAGAACAACTGAGACAATAGGTGGTGAATTATCTTATAAGCCTCCAATTTATGATATTAATGCACCGGATTTGTACATTCCATTGATGGCATTTGGTACCTACCTAGTCCTGGCTGGCTTCATTTTGGGCATCAATGGGAGGTAAGTTTTAACTCGTGTAGCATCGAAACGTATTTCCTACTTTGCTTCAAAATAGTTCAGAGTTTTTGCTCCGAAATTGAAACCGAACAAACCATAACTTTCCTTCTACTCTCCATATCCATTGAAGGTTCAGCCCTGAAGCTTTAGGCTTGCAATTAACAAACGGAATTCTTTGCTGGTTATTCCAAGTTCTCCTGCTTGAAGCCACATTACACACATTAGGAGATGGAGACGTGCCATTACTTGATGTTGTTGCTTATGGTGGCTACACTTTTGCTGCAGTGGCGGTCGTCCTGCTATCAAGTATCGTCTCCACTTATTTCTTCTACGCAGTCACATTGTGGGAATGCTTTTGTTTGGGAATGTTCCTCGTCAAGATCATGAAGAGGATTTTGATTGCTGAGGTGAGAAGTTCTGAGAAGCATTCAAGCAAGCGCCACTATCTCTTGCTACTTGTAGCCATTACCCAGCTCCCGTTGCTCTTTTGGCTTGGAAATGTTGCTGTTTAGAAACTAGAAGCTTAATTTTTTTTTAATTAATCATGCCATTCGTGTTGCAACATTAAACTGCTTAATTTAAGTTGCACTTTATTTTATTGAAATAGATTTTGCTCTTATTTCTTACAAGATACCTCTCAAAAGAAAAGCAAAAAAAGCATATGACAGGATATTTCTATTATTAAATTGAGATCTATTAAATTTACAAGGAATAGCACAAATAGTAAATGATTTGATTTTAGACATGAAAATGTTTTGAGTTCACTTGCGTAATTAATTTATGTGGAGTCTCTTCTTAATGAGATGAATTCTAGTCCGTCAAATAACCCACTTGTATATATATATATATATATATATATATATATATAACAATTATCTTGGACTTTAAGACAGTCTAATCCTGCTAAAAAAGTACTTTTGTATATCAAGTCTTTTTCTGTCGGCCTGTTGGAAAACCAAGCCCAAAAGTATGTGATATGGAGTCTAGGCACTAACCAAATACAGGCTTGATCTAGATTGAAAATTTTGTGGCCGAGGCCCAAGCCCTTTCTGTAGAAGGCTAGGTTTTGAGAAAAGATGCCCTGATGGCAACCATTTACCAAGCAAATCGTGGGCATATTTTTAATATTTTTGGCGCACAAAATCTCGTACTTTGGATTCAACCATAAATATTCCAGAATTCTTCCGTTCATAAATGGACACGACTTTACTTGAATATCTGATCTGATGTCTCTTTAGTTGGGAATTGGGATCCAGGTATGATTGCAATAAGGCTAATCCAATCAAAAATAAATACAATTTTCAAGGCATTTCGGGAATTCCCATCTGTATTAGCACCACATAAAAGCATCCAATAAATAATAATAATAATAATAATAACAAAGATAAACATAGGTGAAATTCGTTCTGTTTCTTTATACTTTTCAATATTATTTATTTTAGTTTTTTTAATTCAGATACCATAAAAAAAACAAACAAACAAACTTTATATTACGAAATATTATAACAAATCAATTATTTTGTCACATCAATCAAAACGTAATTAATAGATTTAAATTAAAAAATTAATTTACTTCAATATTCAACAGTACATGATCTTTTTTTACCATACTTTAACATAAAAAAACATTAGACAGTACAAATAATACGAGGTGAATATCACCCGATAAGAAAAAATAATTCAATTTTTCCTTATATAGTAAAATAAGTGTTTAATATGTTTATATGTTTTAAAATAAGATAATTATATGTGTGTGTATTAAGTTAGTTTTAAATTATCATTCTATGATATTTTTTAATAAAAAACTATGTGTGATTTATATATGATTAATTTTACATAAAAAATAATCTTCAATTTACTAATTCATCTCCACCTTCTCTCATACGTTGATCTAAATCCGGCCAATAACATGCATCAAACCTTTTTTTTTTTTTTTTTTTTGCTTCTTCTTCCTTATAGCCCTTTTCTCCTTATTACAAAGCAATGCACATGCTGATTCATTGTACATTTTTTGTATTTCTTTTTTTACAAATGAGATAAATAGTATCTTGTGGGGCTGGAAAAAAATGCACAGATAGCTTTCAACCTCTCAAAATCTCACAAAATAGTTAAAACTTAAGATTCCTTAATTTATAAAATTAAAAATAAATTTCACATAACTTAAAAGAAAATGCATTGGAAGAGACATAATTACGAAATAACATTTTTATAACAGCAATACTTACCTTCTTCTTTTTTTAATTACTTTTGAGTTACCAATACTAAAATTAGCATTGAGATTTTATAAATACTGATCATAATTGCAATCTCAAACAGACTTTCAAAGACGTGGAGGATTCGGACACAAGCCCATAAAAACTGTTAAAATAAGCGGTTAATCCTTTTGTTTTTAACCCCATAAATACTGTCCGAACTCACCAAGAGGTGGATAGGAAAGAAATCAGTCAGGGGTGGTGGCGTGCCCAAATTTTCCACACCGTCCAAACAACCCAGTCAAATCCCAATTAAATTAAATACCAAAATAAAAAATAAAAAATAAAAAACCTTTTATAAATAACGGAACATTCACAAATTCTCATATTGATTCTTCTCTGTTCTGTTCTTTCTTTTCTTGTCATACTCCATTAGTCCATTATCTTTTCTTTTCAAACCCGTTTCTCAAATTTAGAAACAGAAAAATCAGGTGCGTTTTCTCGTTAACCTCTCTCGATTCCTTCAATTTTAATCTTTTTATTCATAGATCCGCAAAATCAATCGATTCCTAGCTTTTTACAATATCCAAAACTGCACAAATTTTCGATTTAAAGCAGAAATCTGTAACTGATTCTATGTAATTTTATTCTTATTGCTGTTTTCTAATTCGATTTTTGCTGTTAATTGAAAAGTGAAATTTGGAATTTGATCTGATTTGGTTGCAGGATAGGTTGGTAAATAGCGAGGATGTTAGAGCAGTTGCTAATTTTTACTAGAGGAGGTTTGATTCTATGGACTTGTAAAGAGCTAGGAAATGCGTTAAAAGGATCGCCAATAGATACTTTGATACGATCTTGTCTATTGGAGGAACGATCCGGTGCAGCATCGTATAATTACGATGCGCCTGGTGCCTCATACACGCTTAAATGGACGTTCCATAACGAGCTTGGTCTCGTTTTTGTCGCTGTGTATCAGCGAATTCTCCATTTGTTGTATGTGGATGAGTTGTTGGCTATGGTGAAGCGTGAGTTTTCGGAGATTTATGATCCGAAACGTGTGGAGTATGATTTTGATGACACTTTTAGGCAGCTTAGGAAGGAAGCAGAGGCGAGGGCGGAGGAGTTGAGGAAAGTGAAGCCGGTGGGGAAGGGTGTGAATGATGGGAGGAAGCAGGTGGTGAAAAGGGGTAGTGGGTTTGATGGAGGGAATAAAGAAAATAAGAGTGAGGGGAATGAGGGTGGTGATGGGGGTGATGAGAAAGGGAGGAAATTGGAGAGTGGACGCTCCAATGGGAATTACAATGTTGTTGAAGGAAATAGAGGGATGGGTCTTGCTAATGGTAAAGAAAATGCGAGTTCCAACAATGGGGCTTTTGATGTTTCTAAACTTCAAAAGCTGAAAAGTAAAGGTGGGAAAAAAACTAATGATACTGGTGTTGTTAGCAAGGGTTCCAAAGTGGACCCAAAGAAAAAGGTAACAAAGAAGAATAGAGTTTGGGACGATTCACCTAAAGAGGCAAAATTGGATTTTACGGATCCTATGGAGGAGAATGGGATTGAGAATATTGAAGTTGTGGCAGCTGATCAAGGTGAGAGCATGATGGACAAAGAAGAGATTGTTAGCAGCGACAGCGAAGATGAGGAAGATGAGGAAGTCGGGAAGGACAGCAAACCTGATGCTAAGAAGAAGGGATGGTTTTCATCTATGTTCCAGAGGTAAATCAATGCATCATAATCCTTACATTGTTATTCATTGCTTTGATTACTAGTTCATTAAGTTGAGTATCATTAAGGTACTGGATATAGAGTATCCTTTCAAGTTCTATGTTTTTCACAAACAATATGCAGCATCTAATGACGTTCACTAGTGTTTCTTGGATTAGTGTTAGAACCATGTTTTTTCTTTTGAGTTTTATAGCCACAATTTCCTTCATGGCTAGATACTTAAATGTAAGAATAGTGTGTTTTTCGCATGGTGGCATATGAGGTAATTGCACATCAATGTGCTTTGTAATGGTAAAGACATCTGCAATGATAGTTTCGTGGATTTTTGGCATGTACATTTAGTTTTTGGGTAATTAGGAAGTTATTGCCAAGCACTATCAATTAAGCTTCATTAGGTCTTGTAGTATTCTCTGGCAAGGAATTTATCATGCCATATGACTCACACTACATATCAAACTGTTGTATTATCATCTTATGAGAAGGTTCTTCCATGGGATTGATATGTATTGTAAGACTCATACATATCATCAGTACAATGTAGTGATGACTTGCGTAGTTGGCATTTATTTCCCTTTCCATGATTGCGTACTTCCACTGTTGTTTCTGTTGTGTCTCTCCAGGAGTATGAGATGCAAAAAAAGTTGACGCATGAATCTTTAGACAGAATGTGGGACGCCACCATTAGATATGCATGGTTTGACTTTGTTAGTCTGTCTGTTGCATGTGTATTGTGCTCAAATTCTTTTTTAAAGAGAATTCTTGGAGGCTTTTCTCCTAATCAACCAAAGTTGAATATCAGAATTTGGATTAGGCTTTTCTCCCTTGTATGATCCTTACATCATTTTTCTTATGCTTTCCTTGGCTTAGTATTGCTGGTAAGGCAAACTTGGAGAAGGCAGACCTGGAGCCAGCATTGAAAGCTCTCAAGGATAGGCTCATGACCAAGAATGTGGTATGTTATTGTATTTTCTAGATATTCAGTTTGTGAATCTGTTCTTGGTCAATCATGCTTTTTTATCTTACCTCACATTCTTATGGAGTTACTGTCCTGTGTCATTGCAGGCTGAGGAGATAGCTGAGAAGCTTTGTGAATCAGTTGCAGCTAGTCTTGAAGGTAAAAAGCTGGCATCTTTTACAAGGATATCTTCAACAGTGCAGGTTTGTTGCCCCAAGACATTGATTTTCTTCATTTTCGATCTTTTCTGTTTGATTTAGGAATAAGTTTAAGTTTGTCTGGTATTATGACTGCAGGCAGCTATGGAAGAAGCACTTGTTCGTATTTTAACTCCTAGGCGGTCTATTGACATATTAAGGGATGTACATGCTGCAAAAGAACAGAGGAAACCATATGTTGTTGTTTTTGTTGGTGTCAATGGGGTGGGAAAGTCTACAAATCTGGCTAAGGTGAAGCTGAAGCTCTTATTGTTGTAATTATTACTGAAGAATTATCATTAAGGCATGCTTCTTAATTGATAGACTTTTTTTTCATGTCATGTTGCAGGTTGCATACTGGCTTCTGCAACATAAAGTCAGTGTTATGATGGCTGCTTGTGATACATTTAGGTCGGGAGCTGTTGAGCAGCTGAGGACTCATGCACGTAGACTTCAGGTACTGAATTGATATCACATCTTAATATTGACGAGGTTATCTGGCCTTTTTATCACATAGTTTGTTTTTGTGATTCATACCTGTAAGAAAACTTGACATGATACTTTTTTTCTGGTTAGATCCCTATATTTGAAAAGGGTTATGAGAAAGATCCAGCGGTTGTAGCTAAGGAAGCAATTCAGGAGGCCACACGCAATGGTTCTGAAGTCGTTCTTGTTGATACTGCTGGTCGAATGCAGGTACTTTTATGATCTAATGCTTTATCACTGAGATTGGGTTCTACTATCTGGTGTAATATACATTATGGTATTGTTTGATTTAGATGTTTGTCAGTTTTGCTAAGTAATAATTGTGCTTAACTTTTCTTCTTATAAAAGCAATTATAACTATCAAAATGCTAAATTCAATACATGATGAGCTAAATGGAATAGAAGAACCCAATAGGATCCATGTTTTAACAGCAAATCTTCATAACCTGATTTACTAGGAAATAAGCCTCACATGCTTATCTGTTTACTTTCATATTATTAATTCAATGTCATGTTCTTCAGGACAATGAACCATTAATGAGAGCTCTCTCAAAGCTAATTTACCTCAACAATCCTGATCTGGTCTTGTTTGTTGGAGAGGCCTTGGTTGGAAATGATGCTGTTGATCAGCTATCGAAGTTCAATCAGGTTCAGTTCTTATATCCTAGTTTTTGTTGTGTTATTTTGTTTTCTTGCATCCAGATTCAATTTATGAAGCAACATTCCTTGTTTTGTTTCTTTGCAGAAATTAGCCGACCTATCCACTTCTCCCAATCCTAGGTTAATTGATGGGATTTTGCTCACCAAGTTTGACACAATCGATGATAAGGTAGAGTTAAAAAAAGCAGTTAAACTTTTTCTTCTTGAGTTATTTGTTTTATTTGCCAACTAAATATTGACTGTAATTTTCTTTGATGTGTGTAGGTCGGAGCTGCATTGTCGATGGTTTACATCTCTGGTTCACCGGTCATGTTTGTTGGCTGTGGTCAATCTTACACAGATCTGAAGAAGTTGAATGTGAAAGCTATTGTCAAGACACTCCTTAAATGAGTGTGTTCCGCCTTTGATGAATGTTTGTTGAGCGAATTCTGTCCTCTCTCTTTTTTTGCTCTCGATCCTATTGTGAACGTATGGCTTGCTGCCAAACTTCTGTATTTGTCGTGCTTTCCATTGTGTTGTTGGAGGTGAATCAGTCCCTTGAGGCTGTAATTTATACTATTTAGTAGTATTATCATAATTTTGTTCCTTCGCTTGCTCTTGTTTTCAATCTTCCCTCAGACGCACCCACACACCCTCACCTACTCGCCTTGCACTCGCACGCACAGGTTTTTAGGCGTGTCCCGTCAATGCATGGATCAAGCAATTGTCAATATCAGATTTGAGGGGCCGGTGGCTTTGGACTGGTCTAAATGAATTTATTTGTCTGCGGCCAGGAGAAGAGTAAGATCAATTATTAATTTGATGTAGAACTGGTAGTTTTAGGGCATCACTAGAGTACATTTTACCCTCGGTGCTCGCACTTTTGCTTGGAGTAATTCTCATGATACATCGGGTTTTTTTTTTTTTTTAATGAATTAAAACTCCCCACGAATGAATTAAATAAAGAAATATTTTCTGTAAAGACAGCGTTCATGAGAATCTGGAAACCTTAACAAAGTAATCTGTGGAATCTCATTATCTCAAATAATATTGTGAACAACAACGTCAATTTGATTTTATTGCACCTGTATAACTCAACTCTGCAGCCACATAGTCCTTGCTCCGAGAGGGGGAAAAAAGCAGGTGAAAGAGATGGTTCTGATTTTAGCTACGTAAGCCAATGCTATTGTCTAACATGTTAATAAGCAAATTTATCACCTTTTGATGCCTGTTATTCATTGCATAATTGAGATAAAGAGATAATGATCATATCGCCCATCTCCCTCGCAAGATAATAAGTCGAGACGTACCACTCTATTTTTCTTGTTTTCCTTCTTTTGGGTAGACCTTTTATCACCTCCTACAGTGACTTAATAACACGGTGCTGGTGAATTTCAGAATCACCAATGGTCAACTTGCAACATGAATAACCTCCCTCGCTGTAGAGAAAAAGAAAAGGTTGTAACATGACTGATAGTTTGAGTAGTAACTTAAGAAAGAGAAGTTAGGGTTAGGCATATAGTTCAAATTTCCTAGTTGTTTGAGCGAGGAAAATTGCAATTGATATTTAGGAAGAAGAAGAAACAGGGGATTTATCCAGTATGAAGGAATCAGTACATTCCAAATTTGGGAGAAATTCTCCGTACACTGAACTTGACCAAATGCCTCTTGACAGTTCAATATTTTCTTAGCTTCAAAAATTAGGGGAAAAAAATTATAATTCCGTTTTGTATTTTCTTCTGCTTCACTCTGTTTTTTTTTTTTTTTTTTGTCTGCTCAAATTTCCTGATATCGTTTGATCTAGAAGTATTATTGGTAAAGTAGTCTATTTAGGGGTTTCTTTATTCCTTTTATGGACATCACATATTTAGATTGCATGAGCATGAATCATTAACCCTGGCATGTTATTTTAAATTTGTTTGGTATCCGTTTATTATTATTTTTTCTTATTATGTTAGAATTTTGTTCTCCATTTCTCCTCTTCAGCTAGAAGAAGATCGTGGCCGGAAAAGCACCAGAATCACGCGACTGTTGATGGCTATGGGTAATGTTGGAGTTTTCAATTTCTACTCTGCAATAAATGCCTACGTACCCTTTATTGGTATTGCCTGATTTTTCTTTGCTTTTTCTCATTTAGGCAATGAACGAAAATAAAAAAGGATGCAGATCGCTCCGAGGAAGAGAAAGAACACCTGAAGCAGTTGCTGGTAAGGAAAATATATCTGACAAAATTTAAAAAAAAAAAAAAAAAAAAAAAAGGCAAGAAATCTGGCCTTCCTGACCTATTTATTTGTAGAACTTCTATTACTGAAATTTGGGTTTATACACTCTCTGAATTTGCAATTTCAAACAACAGAAATTTTCCAGAAGTTGGGGGATGAAAGAGCAAGATACAGACTCTACCTAGCTTCGCCATGGCACAATGGTACTTCAGATTACCTTCTCTTCTTCACAAAAAAAAATGATTTGCTCACTTTTGATTTACAGCTCTAGAAGAAGATATAATTTCAGCATTGGAGGAGGTAGTGAACCAACATGCCCACCAGGAGATCCGCTAGCTGAATATTTGCTAGTCAAAATTATGAATTGACATTTGTCGTCCTAATAATTGGGGCAAAAGCCCCCATACATATTTATTTTGAAGGATTGGGTAGAGCTTCCAAAAGAACAGTCTAAAATAAGTGTATATCATTACATTACAAAAGAAACTAAAGGAGGTGGAGATTTTCTACAGTGAAAATCACTCTTCCTCCTTTCACAATTTACTATTCATTTTATTGTTCATAATTTATAGATTGTAGATTATGATGATATTTTTATGATTTTTCAGCTGTTTTTGAATATTTATATTCAAAGTTTACATAAATTTTCATTTTGGTTCTTAAAGTTACAAAATTAAATACATTTACATAAATCCGTGGGCTGTTTCATCATCTGGCCTACTGCATTATACTGCTGCATTAGGCCTGCAGCAAGCCTAAGGCAGGCACACAAGCCTGCCTTTTTTTTTTTTTTTCTTTGTTTTTTCCATCAATTTATGTTTATTATTATTATTATTATTATTGAATTAGGTGTAAAAATTATGAAAAATGCTATTTTTATTCTCTTCTTTTTTTTTTATCCATCAATTTTTTTTTTAATTATTGAATTGAGTGTGAAGATTAAAAAAAAAATCAATTACTATTTTTTTCACACAAGGTGACGATTATAAAATATATATGATATATTTTTAAATTTAGAATATATATATATATTACTCTTATTGTTTAAAATTGATCTCTTTAATTTGTCATTTCTTATAAAAATTTTCATTAATTTTTTATTTAATTTAATTTGTAAATAAATATGATTTATTTTCTCTTATGTAATGATTTTTTAATAAGTATTTTTTAGTTGTTTTTATTTGCTTATTTTTTTTATAACTGAAATTATAAAAATAGAAATCAAGTGTTTTATATATATATATATATATATATATAATCAAATTTTATTGAAATCAATTTTTTTTTTATTGCACCCTACTAACTTTAATATATTTCTTACCGCTTAATTTAAAAAAAAAAAAATCAGTTTCTGCCGCACACTCGACCTAATAAGTACGGTCATGATATATAAAAATTATATATTAGATTTATTGATCTTATTATAAATTAACTATGTATATGCACTAATAACATCAACTATCGTTATTATTTTTTATATTTTAGAATTATTTTTTAAAATAAAATAATCAAAATAATATTTTAGAAGAACTCGCCTAATAATTCAAATATAATTTTTCATACTAATATTATTCATTAATTTTTAAATAAATAAATAAATATCAAATGTGTATACTTTCAAAAAAAAAAAAATTCTTTTCATTAGTATTAAACAAGAATAATAAAAATTATTTATTAATTTTTATTCAGGTTTTTATGTTAGTTTATTTATTCCTTACAATGTTATGAAAAAATATTAAAATATATTAAAACATATTTTTTAATTTTATATTTAGATTATTATGGATTTTTTTAGAATAAATGCGTAAAAAAGAATAAGTCATGTTTTTTTAACTACAAAAATTATTTAAAAAAATAGATACAAAATTTTGATTAAAAATTATAAAATTAGATGAAATTTTATCTTCATTTTAATATATTTTGTTGATCGACAGTATAATATATGTTATCAAACTAAAAGAAATATTTTTTAAATAAAATAATTGAAATAATGTTTTAGAAGAACTGCCTAATAATTCAAATATAATTTTTTATACTAATATTATTCATTCTTTTTTTAAATAAATAAATATCAAATGCACATAGTTTCAAAAAAAAATTCTTCTCATTAGTATTAAAAAGAATAATAAAAATTATTTATTAATTTTTATTCAGGTTTTTATGTTACTTTATTTATTACTTACAATGTTATGAAAAAATATTAAAATATATTAAAACATATTTTTTTAATTTTATATTTAGATTATTATGGATTTTTTTAAGAATAAATTTTTAAAAAAGAATAAATCATGGTTTTTTAACTACAAAAATTATTTAAAAATAGATACAAAATTTTGATTAAAAATTATAAAATTAGATGAAATTTTATCTTCAATTTAATTCATTTTTGTTGATCGACAAGTATAGTATATGTTATCAAACTAAAATAAATATTTTTTAAATATAATAATTAAAATAATGTTTTAGAAGAACTTCCTAATAATTCAAATATAATTTTTTATACTAATATTATTCATTCTTTTTTAAATAAATAAATAAATATCAAATCTACATACTTTCAAAAAAAAAAAAAAAACAATTCTTCTCATTAGTATTAAACAAGAATAATAAAAATTATTTATTAATTTTTATTTAGATTTTTATGTTACTTTATTTCTTCCTCACAATGTTACAAAAAAATGTTAAAATATATTAAAAAAATATTTTTTAATTTTATATTTAGATTATTATGGATTTTTTTAGAGTAAATGCATAAAAAAGAATATATCATGCTTTTTTAACTACAAAAATTATTTAAAAAATAGATGCAAAATTTTGATTAAAAATTATAAAATTAGATGAAATTTTATCTTTAATTTAATATATTTTTATTGATCGACAAGTATAATATATGTTATCAAACTAAAATAAATATGTTTAATTGAACTCGCAAGTAGCAGTGCGAAAAGCCAACTAGTTATAAAAAATAAAATAAAAGGCATGGGTTTTTTAATAGCAATTATTATTCATAAACTGTTCATATGCCTAAAATTCTTATTCACTAACGATTTATATCCCTAACATTACTATTCACTTGGTAGCAATTTGAGTAATTTTTTTGTGTGATTTTTTCGTGATTTCTTATGTGTTTCTAGGCATTGATACGCAAATTTAACACTTTTTCCTATTTTCATCTCTCAAGTTTTAACA